TTAATGAGTTTACAAGTGACACTATCAGATAAAGAGGGACGCAATGAAAATACTTGCATACAAGTCAGATGCATTCATAGCAGACAAAACTTGGGAGAAAAAGTATAGTTATACTTGTATCAACTCAAGGTCCACATTCTACTCAGATACTCAGAAAGGCACGCTGCCCTCCTAGAAGGCAACAGCTCAAGCCATGGCGGCAAAAACCCTTATCCGGGAGAAGGGGCTCAGTTTCAAGGAAAGCCATAGGGGAGAGAAGGTTTTCAGACGCTGATGTTTTCCAATCAATTGAGCGTGTGCAGAGCTAAACCAGACTCCGCAAGGCTTTGTGCAGCTCTGGCTGCGTGCAACTCTTTACCAGAGACATCTCTGCGCACCACCAGCACATCTCAGCTGGTTCTTTGAGACACTTCTGTTTGATCAGCACTATCTTGCTTTTAGCTGCAGACAGCTCAAGGCAGTTGCTGTTCATCGAAGAGATTGTTTCCCTCTGACACCAACAGTGCTTCATCACTTAATGCAACAAGACACTCCAAGCGTGTTACTGGCATACCAAGGAGGGGGGCTGACAGCTAACCCCGTGGCATCTTGCTCCAGAAGTCCCCCATACATCAAGAGGCAGGGACAGGATTGGGTCTTCCATGGGGAACAGCCTCACCTCCAAAGCTTCCTGGTGCTGTTACATGCCACAAGCACTTCTGATGCTGGTGCCTATACCCTGAGGAGCAGGCTTCAGGGACACCACCTGCCACCATTTCAAGCCTCCAGCTCTTACTTCTGCGTGCACCTTGATGGTGGCACCAGAGAATACCCTTAGAGCAGCTTCTGTGCTCTATAATCCTTGAACAAATTGAAATGTTGCTTCCAGCAACCCCAAGTTTAGGTGTGGATACAGGAAGAGTAAATAAGCTGTAAAAACAGGGAGCTCAATAAAAGTGTTAGGCTGCAAACAACATGTGCTGCCAGGAGCCTCCCACCCATGGGGACAGGTGGGTCCCCTTTTAATGCTCTTCAGGCAAGTTATCATCCCGTGATGGAAAATAAACACACAAACGCACACCCTTCCCAGTGTGATATATTAAACTGCTTTATTGTGCTCTTCATAGAAGCCTCTGGGGGAGGGAAAGGCCACCTCAGAGGCTGTAGCCAGATTTCACATTGGACACGTGAACAGCAACAGCTACAAAGTCAGGCTCACCAGCCTAACAAAGGTTCTTGATTTCAAAGATTCATTCCTGTTTGATTCTTAATTGTTCAGCAAACACTTGGTTGACCCAGTTCAGCCTAAAGCAAAGCCCGAGTGTATTTACAAGCACTGCACATTCACCTGTCCTTAAGGTGAGAACACAGGGACTGGCCTTTTCATGAGAGAGGAAACACTCCTGTAAAATAATCCTCAAAAAGGTCACATCTGTATCACAGAACAAGACCTTACTTGACAATCACAATAACAAAAAACAAACAAAAAAAAAAAAAAAAAAAACTTTTCAGGCTCAGAAGCCATAAAACAACCCTGGTGTTTTATATAAGTAGACACAAAGCAGTTAATCAGATGAAGGGTGATGGCAAGAAGCCCTCCGTGCAACAGTGTCTCCTCCCCCAAAACACAGGTCCAGTGGTCATCGATGGAAGTGCTGCTCACTGAACAAAGCTGATTTGTTTTGTTTTAAGGAACTCTGTAAGGTCGCACATTTGCGCTGTCAGCAGTTTTCTGGAACACAATCTCCGCCGTGTCAGCGCTAATAACAAAACAGGGCCAGATCATTGGCTGAGGGAATTATTTTTCTCCCTATAAGGATGGAAAGAATTGGGAAGAGTGCTCTTTCTCATGAATATATTTGGCTCTGCAGAAGACACATGTGATACAAATGTTGCTATGGAAACTATTCTATTAAATAATATTAAATAGAATTTACATATTTAAAGTGCACATAAACAGTTCAGGTACAAAACGAATTAGCCTACATTTGATCTTGAAATTACAAAGTGAGGCCTCTCAGAATTGAGATTTTTCTTGCAAAAGAGGTTCGATTTTGAGCAAGCTGCTTTTCTGCACCCCTTTCTTTCCAAATCTAGCACCTGCACCCCAGTTATTCAAAAAAGCATTTCTTGAAATAATTTGTAGATACAAGTGCTGCTCCTAGTTCCCTTGGTGATGGAATTACCATAGCGTTACAGAGAACAACTCAGAAGCTGAATTCAGTTTGAAAAAACAATGCCCTCATTACAGCTATGCCACCATAATATTGAAATGTATTTAAATAACTCCCACTGACACCTCCCCACACAGCACCAGATCTCTTCTCCATAGGCAGGATCAGGCTTCACCTTCTTAATGCTTTCAGGGCACAGGAAAGTTTTTTAAAAGTTTCCAGGTTAGTGTATTAAAGCTTATGCTATTTTTTGTTTCCTACCTCCAAACCCCTGGTTGTCCAACAGCCCTTCACAGCTACCACCACCCAAAAGAAACAAACCCAGAAGCTGCTTACACAGTTCCTTCTCCTCTGAAGGAGCCAAACTCCCATTTGCCACTGAGTAATATTGAATTCAAGCCTTTCTAAAATCAGGCGGCAGCCCCAGGTGCTCAGTCTGCTTCAGCTGTGCACATCCACACCTGATCAAGGAGGAAAACTCACCACCGAGCAACGAGACTGGGTAGCTGGGCTGTGTACTGGGAAGCGGGTGCCAACAGTTGCACCACTGCTGCAAGCAAACCAGCCTGTCCTTCCTTTAAAGGACTCTGGTTAATCATAATCAACCCAAGTATCCACTTTCACTGGAATGTTATAAATAAGGACAACGGTCTCCTCAGCAGCTTATAGACAATGCAAGTTGCAGAAAGAAGCCTGCAGCTATAGTTCAACTGTCTATTCATAGTAGAGGCGCAATAGCCTAAACTGAAAACCAGGAGAGAAAGGCATGACCGTTAGTTAAACTACCAATTCCCAAACAAGCGGAGCATCGGGATTTGAATAGGTCACCTCATGCTTGTAGCACAGGCACCAAATCTAACCAGTGACAGACGGATAAAAGCAGCCACAGCTCCGCAGCTTCCCTCCTCACCACTTCCACACCGCTGAAAAGTCTAGGGGACAATATGCCCAGAGCTCAGGGAAGCCAAGGAAAATGAATTCTGGGCTCTTCACTTGAAGAAATCTATAGCCATGGCCACTCTTTGCTGAGACTTGACAGAAACATTTGCCATCAGCCCTACCACCTTTTTGACACTTTCCAGCCGTTGATACAACACAAGCCATTGGAACAAGAAGAAATTAGATCAAATAAAGCAGCTGTCTTTACAAAGAAAAGAGTTAACGGTTCCATTTTCATAGACTCTGTGCCTTTCTCCCTTCTTCTCTCCCCCTCTCCCCCTTTTATTTTAAACATTAAACTGGCAAATGTATCTCTACTAAGAGGACATTGAACATCTCACCACCACCTCCAGAGAATTTTAGAAAGCTTTAATAACAAAAGCCAGAGGCATTGACAGAATTTATGTCCATCTCAGAATAGATGCACCTTATTCATGTACCTGTTAGGTTTCACTGTCACAGTACAGAAAGATGTACCAAAGTTTAATCTTACCCTTTATTTATGCAGGCACAAACTGAATAACAATATATACCCAGTGCTGAAAAGATAGTCAGAATACACTAATCCTGCCAACTTTACTACAAGTTCTCTCATAATGACGTTATCTCCATCTGTCACTGAACCATGTGGTTCTTAAAGAATAAACAATGCCCATACATAAGGTACAAGAAAAGCAGCATCTTCCATTTAGCGATGCCTGCTGGAATATGTTAAAATGCTTTCTACTTTCCAAACAAGTCAGGGAGATGCAAGTTAACAGAACCATAGAGAATCCATTGAACATGGGTATAAAGAGAATGAAACTTTAATCGTAACAAGCCAATAAAAACTTTCAGATGACCACACACGCCATAATAAATCTTGATGTAAAACTCATGCTATGCACAATTTGGAATTGTCAAATTAATCACTTCTCAGTAAGCACAAGAAATGAGTTGCTCTCCCGTCGTGCAAGGCAGATACATCAATTAAAGCATTTTATATGCAAAGCCTCCCTCCTGTTTAACCCCCCCATAAGCCCTGCTGGCTCAGTGAGGGAGCCGGGAAGCCTGCAGCTCGCAAGCCCCATGGTTGGAGCAGCACAGGTAGCTTGCTCAGGGGAGCAGCAGCCCAGGGACTGTTGGAACCAACCAAGCTTTGAGAGAGCACATGCCAAAGAACCACAGGGAACTGGCCTGCTGCTACTGCTGCACACCTAGCAGCTACAGCTGAAACTAGGAATGTGTCATGGAAGTACATGGTGAGACTTAAAATAAGTTTAGAATGAAATAAGGAGTCAGGGGGCAGAGGGGAGGGTGTTTTAAGGGGAAGAATTTTTCATTTTGTGAAACTTCAAAGCCCTAGAAGCTATCAACAAAATCTTCCACTGTCCCACACAAGAGCTCAAACCCCTGATTTGCAGCAACCCACCCCGGCACCCCGAGCCTCCCGCAGCCGCAGCCCTCCAGCTCTCTGCTGTGCAGAACCGCTGCCCAGCCTGAGCCCCCTGCGCCCCCAAAACCCCGCTCCCCGGGGGCCCTGGCACCTCCACCTATCGCCTTGCCCCCGGCCGCCCCCTTCCTCACCGGGGCTCCGAGCCCTGGGCGCTGCCCCAGCCCCGGGGACATAGGCAGAGCCGGGAAGGAGGCAGCATCCCCATCTCCGAATGGGAGGGAGAGGAAAAAACAAAAGAAATAGATATACATGTGCACGCACGCATGTGTATGGTACATAGATGTATGCGTTTAAGACGCTTTGATTCTTCTCCACCCTTCCCTAAGGTATTTTTTTATTGTCTCCCTTGCAGAAACACCCAGAGAGCACAGTCTGCAAAAAGAGGAGGACAAAGAAGCGGGGGAAAAACGGAGAAAAAAAAGACCCCAAGGCAGGTGCCCCTGGGGTAAGCCCGGGAGAGGACCAGCACTCACCCCCAGCCTCCTGCTCCGGATGCGCACGTAGCCCTGCTTCACGATGTCGTTGAAATTGGAGGCCATCCTTCCCCGGGCAAGTTGGCGGCGGCTCAGGCAGCCCGCATGGCGAGCAGCAGCCTCCGCAACCGCGCCCCGCTCCGCACCGCCCCGCGGAGCGCCCCAGCCCCTGCCCCGCGGCGGGCCGGGCCGGGGGAAGGGCTCCGGGAGCGCCCGCCCCGCGCCCACCCCTGGCAGCCCCCCCCCGGCCCCGAATCCAGCCCTGGGGAGCAAAGAGCTGGGGAGTGCCCCCGGCGAGGCGGGGGGGTCCGGAGAGGGGCTCGAGGTTGCCCGCTGTGGGTGATGGAGCCCCGCGGAGCGCCCGGCCCCTAGGTGCGCTCCTGCAGGTGGGGCAGCCGGGAATAATCAGATCTGCTCATTTGGGGAAACGAAGCTGGGACCCGCGGTTTTCCCCGGAAAAAATGGGTTTCCCAGAAAGTCTTGCAGATGCCTGAAAGTCTGCCAAGTGGCTCGGCTCCAGCATCTCCTTCTAAAGACCCGTAACCCGAGTGGTTGTCCTCTGGCACGCTTCGAGTCGTGGAAATGTCACACGAGCACATGCGGCATTTTCCAGGCAAGGTGCGGTTGCAGTAATGAAAGACCTTCTTCTGGCACTGGGCCCTGGGGTTGCCTTCTGCATGCCCCGAGTTCTCCTCTTCCAAGAACATGCAAACACTGCTGAGTACGCCAGTGAGCCCAGGAGGCGGGGGCTCCAGAGATTGCTTGTTCTACATGGGTTACCTGTTAGTGGTACGCTATAAATACTACGTCCTGGAAAGAGGGACATACATCATAACATCTTTTAATAGCATTCCAAATATAAGCAGTCTGAGGAGGAGGTCAGCCAGAGGACTTTGACTTTGAGAATCATCCTGCCCTGAAAATTACAAACTGGGTAGCAAGAAGGAAGGCAGAGCAGAGAATCACCAAGGAACATAAAAGAGAGAAAGCCTCACATCTGTGCCAAGCCCAAGGCAAGATAGCAGCAATGTTTGTTTTTGTTTAGTTGTTCAATGACTACGACACTCACCTGTGATTAAAACTGGCCCCTTTCCGGTTTAGATGTATAGCTCCTTCATTTTAGAAGCAGCCACAAACAACACTGGTTGCTCTGCTGTGGTAACAGTGTGGTGTTTTTTGCTCTCGCCTGAAGAGGTGGTTATGCCTTGTGAGGTTTTACAAACCTTTAATTGAACAGGTGGTTACAGAGGTAGAGAGCAAGACTTTCTAGCTGGAGGGCTAATTCGTTTAGGATGAATGAAACAAGTCTGCAGTCCTTGCCTCAGAGTCTATGTTATTATTTTACACTTCCCTCTCTTTTTCACTAAGCTATTTTACAGAACACATAAAATAACACAGCTTCAGATAGAAACAAAAAAAAAAAAAAAAAACCTTCAACATCTTTGCACCAAATACCACAAATTAGAAGATTATTGAGACAAGTCCTTGCAGTAGGATAAAATGTCCCTAAAAGAACTCAGAAGTTGCATAGGTACTTCATTGCCAAACTGCTAAGTTATATAATCTTCTTAAGTATGTTGTATACAACCAAAAACACTGTTAATACCAGTTCCATAGCACCATTTGTTAGATCTCATTACTGATTGAAAGCTAGAAGAGTTGAGACACTCAGCCTGCTTCATCTTGCATAGACACATGAATTCAGTGCACAAACATATTTCACAATCTCAAGTACCATAAAAACACTAATGCTGGAAGAATCAAGTATATTCTAAAAACAGAGAGCATTTATTTTGATTTCAAAGGCATTTGTGGCAGGAAACAAATTACAGAGCCACTTTAGATGTTTTTTTCAGCAAGTTTAGGCTTCTTTTTTAATCTCTTCCTGTATCTATAAACATATACTGCTGATTTCATTAGTCACTAGCATATTCTTGCAGGTAAACACATTCCTAAGAGCTTTACTAAGTAAAGGTTGACTTAAGCCTGTGCTTATTCTTTGATGAATTCAGATATTAGGGTCCACTTACGTTTTTACTTTGAATAATATAAATAAATCCCTTGCACATGCTATGGTTCAAAGAAAAAAATTGAATTTTAATTTCCATGTGTGTAATATGTTTCAAGAATGTGCCAGAAAACTCTTATTGTTTATGTTTTCAGCCCAGTACTATCACTAGGAAAAAAAAAAGAAATTGTTTACCAGGTTTTCAATACCAATGCAAATGTGTTCTCTCACTGTTTTGACAGGAGTCCTTCTTTCCTTCCTCCCCCTAGGGGTCTATTGACCATTTGCACTCCCAGTAAGGAAATGCTGCACATGTTTATCTGTACTCAAAACTGTATAAAACCTTTTTAATAAGCTTTCATTGAAATGCAGATTCTTTTCCTTTTAATGACAATGTTATTACTGTTATTTCTTATGAAGCTAGAATCAGGGGTCACTTTGAAGTACTAGACTGCTGCTAATAATTTCAGTGGTTTATTGTTATATCCTAATCTCATAGTAATGTATCATTGTATAAGCTCATTTGCTTTTAAGGCTCTGAAAACAGAAATCACTGTTACACATTTCAACTGAAAATGAAGGTGTCATTTTTTTCTAAATGCCATACTAACATTTCAAAAAGAATTACATTCACCTTATTATATTTGCAGTATGCCATCCCCTGTGTCCATGACATTATTTCATCACAGTCTAAAGGCGATATTTGACAAACATCTCTGACACTTACCAGGTTAAACAGTAAGGAAACTGCAGAGGACATTTTATGGAAGCAGTATTTTCTGTGAAAGTTATTTCCTTGAACAGATGGAGCTGGTGCTAGTCAAGCATTGCCTGACAAAAAAAAAAAAAAGTTTCTGATTTGATCACCCTGAAATGATTTTCTGGAAACGTACAACATGCATCAATATTTTTTTTAAGAAAAGCTCCTATAACATTTTGTTTCCATAAGGTCAAGACGCCAACATTTTTCCACTATTGTTTTGACTTTTTCAGAGTAGTTTAGAAATGATAACGTCACAATGAAGTGTTCTGACCTTATCAAGTACTTTGAGGTTACCAGAATGCAATATTTCAAATCTAGTACCTCCATGAAAAGGATTTGACGTTCCCATGTCTAATTTTATTTTGGAGTCAGATAAATTTTGACATTTAATTTTTATTTTTGCAGTGGAAATTATGAATTTTGACTAGTTCTAACTGCAAGTAATACAACAGATAATGAGCAAACATTTAAAAGTATCATTACTATTAAAAAGTGTTTATTTTTTAACTATACTATTGCAAACCTTTGATTATTTTTTTTTATTTATTTAAAGACATATCTGTAGAGCTGCCTTGCATCATGAAGCAAATCTTGCTCAGTCATATTTCATTTTGAAAAAAATAATAATTATTTAAAAAAAATTACTCTGAATTTACTGTATTTTGCAATGTGGACATTTGATTAGTTTTGTCCTACAATCATTGTTCGTTCTGCTGCTGGTGCTAATGCAAAACCATACACTGAATTCACAGTACAAAACTGCTCTGGAATTCCCATCCTTCACCATTTGTGTATCATACTAATTGATTTTGAATGAATGAATTCCATAGAAATGGAGGGACTTCTCGGATACATTTCTCTATTCTCACATCTTCTTCTGTGTCTTTATTTCCAACATGCCAGTAAGGCTGCACAGCACAGCTTCAGGCAGAAGAGCAATGTCACAGAATTTAGGAAACCTTTGTGAGATTTGGGCTAGACTGAGGCATCTTTCTTGGTAACTGAGGGCAGGACCCTTGGTTAAAACATCCTCATTCGCTACAGGGATTTTTGAATACATTAGGTATAAAGTTGCATTAGAGAAATGCATTCACAGGTCATTGGCAGAATTACCATGCAGATCAGTCAGTGTCAAAACATGAAAATTCATGAGACCAAATGGTTAACTTATACCTCCACTGCCACCACCATAAAATAACAGAAGCATGTAGACACTTTAACAGTAAACAGGAAAGTGCTGTCAGCATAAGTAACTGGTAATCAATATTTAATGAAAATAAATAATCTATTAACCTGGCTAACGTGTAATTTTGTATAGCAATATTGCAGCAGTAGGCACTGAAATTACCTTGCCTCTGCACAATTCATTCAAATAATTTTGCTTCATGTAGGCCAAGGTGGTGAGAGGCAGAAAAGATAGTGTGAGAAAAAAAAAAAAAAAAAGCAGCAAATGAAATGCATCTGTTTACTGGAAACTCTGTTTCTGATTGAAATATTTTGTCCCTAACAAAATTACTGTCAACAGAGTGCATGTTAAGACAGAAATAAATATATACTGACTGAATCTGCAAGCAAAGTGAATCCAGGGTAACATTAGCTACCGAAACACCCAACATTCATTTTGCTTGCTTTGTATTTCTGTGACAGCTACAAGCATTTAAGCAACTTTTTCATTGTCGCTCTCCTGAAGACATACATCAAGGGACCTTCCTGCATCTGCAGAACATGGCTGGAGGGATTAAGCAGGACTGAGTGGCAGGTCACAAGGTCACCATCCATCCTTCCTGTTCCTACGTGTAATTTATCAGAGTCTGCAGTGTATCAAAGCACAGCTCTGAGACTGACAGCTCGCTCTGATCTTTGGCTACGGAGGAGCTGGAGTGTTATAATCTGTGCAATTGCAGCCTTCCCTGGCTGCCTCTTTGGTATTTCCAGTCCAAGCCAGCACAAGAACATTATTCCCAGAGGAGGTCCCAAAATACACAACTGTAGTATTTGTTGAGCTGTGAGTAGGCAATGCAGCAGTGCCAAAGACTGAGACCTTAGCAACAGGTTATGCAGGTTATGCCATGGGCCCAGGCAAGACTCATTCACATTTGTGATTTTTGGACTTTGCTGCACTTCTTGTGGAGGTGGGTTTCACTGGGGATGGCCCAGCTACACCTGACAGCATGTTTTTTAAAACATATCTGCTAAGTAGGATTACCTGACATAGCAGTGGTATCGTGGTGCCTGTGCATGGCCTAGTCCTCTAGATGCACAGACAAGGGGATGGAAGTGTGGTCAAGAGTGCTGGGCAGACCTCCTAGGCCCATTTCTTGCCCTCTTGGCTGATTCTTCTGTCAAGGAGTGAAATCTCATCCTCAAAGCTCTAAATGACAGCAGATCTCAGCTATTGACTGCTTACTTCTCTATAATTGTGCCCCTCTTGCCATACCGGCTGCTGCTGCCAAGACAGACCCAGTACAACCTTTCTTGAAATACAGTCATGACACTAAATCAGAGAAAAAAGATGCAAGTCCTTAGTTTCCCCTCTCATGGAAAGCATTAGCAGCTCATGCAGAAGGCTCTCGGTACGGTAGAAAGTCCAGAGCTCAGTTCTGGAGCTACCAGGGACAGCCTGAAGTTGAACAATTTCTCCAAGAGATCCTCCAAAACACGCCCTACCATCACTGAGGTTAAAAAATAAATACCTTCTGGGGCAAGGCAGCACTTTCCAAGACAGTGAAAAGGTATCTCAAGACTCAAATTGCCAACATCAAGCTGTGAGTGGGATTT